TATCATTTATCTTTTATTTGATTAGTACATCTAGTCAATTCGTTTTATTATGCCCTGTGTTTTTGGGATGTACCGTCTTCTGGACCCGGAGTGTGATATTGGATGGTGACATCTCATGTTTCTTTCCTTCGTCAATCCTGCTGGTAGTAATTTACGTACTCCAATCGGTTGTGAGAGTTTATCATGAGAACTCAAAAGCTTCAACAGTTGAGGTCGAAGCTCCACTAACTCTTGTAAATTAATGCGGGGCGGGGAGGCGACCACAGATTGATTTGGTCCAGTATCCATGGAGTTGGATGGAGGCAATTATATTACTCCTTTGTTAGTGGTAACATCCTGGGTTTCCTTCGTTCGTCAATTCTTTGAGTTGCGATTTCTTTATCCCGATCGGGTGCAAGAGCAGGAAACTCTTGTATCATTTATCTTTTATTTGATTAGTACATCTAGTCAATTCGTTTTATTATGCCCTGTGTTTTTGGGATGTACCGTCTTCTGGACCCGGAGTGTGATATTGGATGGTGACATCTCATGTTTCTTTCCTTCGTCAATCCTGCTGGTAGTAATTTACGTACTCCAATCGGTTGTGAGAGTAGGAAACTTTTGCATCTTATATCTTTTATTTTATTTGTGCATCTCGTCTTTGTTCTGGTTTTTTTTTCTTGTCTCGGATTGCTTTTTTGGTTGTTCTTTCTGAACTTTTCTAACCCCTCATTTTTTATTTCTTTTTGGTGCCAGAGCTAGTCTAACCCTAGTTCCATTCTAAGGTTACTAAAATCCTTTCAAACCTTAACCCACCAAATCATAGAAAAATCTTGATCTAATCTTAATTCCCTTTGCTGATTTTCAAAATCAACAACCTGAACTGATTTTTTTGCTCCTAAAATTAGGCTCATACACCCTCTTTTACCTTCCAAACTTAAACCCACTAAACCATAACCAAATCTTGACCTAAACCTAATCCCACTTCTTGATTTTGAAGATTTTATAAATCAGCAAACCAAAATATTTTTTGCCGCACTCAAAATTAGCCTCGTACACCATCTTTCACCTCCAAAACCTAAACCCACCAAATCATAGCCAAATATTGACCTAACTTTAATTCCCTTTATCGATTTTGAACAACCAAGATTTTTTTGCACCCTAAATTAGTCCCATACACCCTCTTTCACCTTCCAAACCTAAATCATAGTCATGCCACTGAGGAGACAAGTGACAGAAGTTGAGAGCTTTCTAATACCGGGAGGTTACAACATCCCCGCCACCTTCAACGTGGGCCTACCTAACGTCATATCATGAGAACTCAAAAGCTTCAACAGTTGAGGTAGAAGCTCCACTAACCCTTGTAAATTAACGCGGGGCGGGGAGGGGGTTGGTGGACCCCCTTTTTATGGGTAGGATTGCCGCCCACTCCTAACAACAACAATGGTATTTTCATCTGTTTATTTTTATTAGGTTTAGGTGTTTTGTTGATTATAAACATATTGTTTACTATATTAGGGTTTTTTTTGTTCATTTGAGTTTTTGGAGGGCCTGCCCTCCCTTTAGGTTCCCGGATAGAGACGACTCTGTATCCATGGAGTTGGATGGAGGCAATTATATTACTCCTTTGTTAGTGGTAACATCCTGGGTTTCCTTCGTTCGTCAATTCTTTGAGTTGCGATTTCTTTATCCCGATCGGGTGCAAGATTTTTTTGTTCATTTGAGTTTTTGGAGGGCCTGCCCTCCCTTTAGGTTCCCGGATAGAGACGACTCTGTATCCATGGAGTTGGATGGAGGCAATTGTATTACTCCTTTGTTAGTGGTAACATCCTGGGTTTCCTTCGTTCGTCAATTCTTTGAGTTGTGATTTCTTTATCCCGATCGGGTGCAAGAGCAGGAAACTCTTGTATCATGTATCTTTTATTTAATTAGTACATCTAGTTTTTGTTCATGTTTTTGCTTTCAACTCAAAGAATTAAGGCGAAAAATTCTTGTTTGATAATTTGAATATTTAAATATTTAAGGCGAAGAATTAAGGCAAGTAAATATTTAAATCTTGATCTATCATTAATTTGATAATGCACTAATATTAAAAACATAATTGTTTGATGTGGATCATGTAGTGGATTTGTTTTCAATGCTATGATGTAGAAGTCTTCAATCTTGCATTGAAAATTAATTATGTGATGCACTTGTTTAGCACACCTTGTGAAGAAGACCTCATTTATTATAGGATTGTTTTGTATAGAATGGTAATTCTAGGGTGCAAGTGAACCAATTTGAGTTGAGTCGATGTTGTCCAAACCCAAAAGGTCATTTACCAAATGCAAGTTAAAGCTTGGTTGTAAGCTCAATTCAAGCTTTTATGAGTGTTCAAGTTCAATTTGTTTAAATGCATGTTTTGTCAAGCTTGGTTTGAACTCAGCTCGTTTGTGATAATCTTGCTTGAAAGTATAAATGAGCTTTATTGAATAAGGGTTATTGGGTCTTAATTAGCCAATCTTATTGAACTTTAAAAAAATAAAATTTAACAAGTTTTAATTGTCTTGTAACAAGCCAATGCAAGTTTTTTAAAAGTTCATTATTATTTTTGTTTAAAATGTTATCTCAAATAGTTTCTCATTAGGCCACATGGGTTACAAGCTTAGCAATTCGCCTTAATTCTTTAAAACTCATAAACATTACTATAAAATAACTAAACAATGTGAGACTAATTGCCCAAATAAATGATGAATTTATGTTTCTCATCTAGCTTTATTGTGAGGCTTAATTGAGCTTCTTAATAAGTTTGTTCACAAGTTTTATATCGTGTTATAATCAAGCTTTATATTGAACATTGATCTTTTTTCTTTATGAGCTTTAAATGCTATAGTTTATGATCATACATTAATTAAGTGGAAAGCTATTCATGCTTGTTAATTTAACAACCGATTATTTATAAAAATATTCTAGCTTGTTTGATTAGTTATTTAAACTTAGGATTTTAATCGAGCTGAGTCTAGCCTAGTATGTTTTGAATTGGATCTGACTTGGCTATATTATAAGTTCATGTTTGGCTTGAGCTCAAGTCGAGCTTTTACATATATGTTCATACTTGATTTGATTAAAATTTCTAAAATTTATAGTTTGATTCTACTTTATTTTTTATATCAATTAATTGAGTAATTTAACGAGTAAATAAACTAACTAAAATTAGAATAAGTACTTGGCTTTCCAAATAAGTTATTACCACATGATTTTACAAATCTAAATAATAAGCGATTGACTAAATGTCAAATTAGTTTCTAATCACTAATAAATTTAAATAAGATAATATAAGCTACAACTATTTTTTTTGCAATCAAATAATTTGAATAAGTATTAACAAATTATTTCAATGAATTAAAGAAATAAAGAATTGTATTAACTCAAAATGCATATTGATTTTAAATTATATGTTAATGTTAAATATTTAATTAAATAATTTCTTTTTAATTAAATTTTATTTAAATAATATATCATATGTGATATAAGCTATAATTGAAATTGCTATATAGCATTTAATTAGTTATTTTTTTATCACTAAAAGGGTTTGTTCATGAACATAAATAAATGATTTCAACCGTGATTAGGTTTGATTTAATCTTCGAGCTTTTAAAAAATACTCAAACTTGTTTTTTACTAATATATGAACAAACTTGATCGAATATTAATAAAGCCTGGTTCGTGTTGTTCAACAAGTGCATCGGTTCATTTACAACCCTATTCAAACACTTATAAATAAACTCTAATTGAGCCGAGCCAAAATTAGTTTATTGAAGTATATGTTCATTTGCAACCCTAGATTTTTACAAACATTATCCACCCTCTAGTTTATATGCTGGCTAAAATTGATAGAAGTCATTGGAAATTAATTATTTTTGAATGAACCTTTTCAATGAGTTGTTTGATGATGAAGCAATCATTGCATTTTTATTATCCTTGTATGCATCTATTTATAATAGCCCTTTTTTATAGTTTGTACAATATACATGTTAATTACACACAGGTTGCTGAAAGCATGCTAATGTTTAATATCACATTAGTTTCTTTCTGTAGTATGTTGGCATGTTGCTTTTTGTTGTGTGCTCATAATTCATGAAATGGAATAATTTTTATTTAAACGATGAAGGCCATCCATATTTTAAAGTTGAGAGATTTAGGTAGAATTCCAATATCACATTTCGAACCGTTCAGCTCATCTTATTAATAATGATAATAATATTTTTTTGGCTTGCTGTGTTTCCAAATAAATCAGAAGATGTCTGCATGTGTCACATTTGGTTGAAATATTTAAATTTGCTGCCCGAAATTAGATATCTGCATGTGTCACGTCAGGTGGCAATTGTTACATTTTCTGCCCTAGATTGGATGTAATTTAGTGCTTTTCTATAAACTATAATTACTTGCCTATCTTGTAATACTTGACCATTGAAAAAAAAAGAAAGCTTCAAAATATAGCTGAACAAAAAGAGGGGCATATTGATAAAGGATAAACCCAGAAGCTTCGTTTATTCAGTTTTTGGCTCTCCGCTCCAATTTCTTTGACAAAATTCACTTATAATCCCTTATAAACTATAATTACATTCCTTGATGATTTCATGTTTGAGATGTTAAAAAGTAGTTTTATTTGGAGGTTACTTCGATATAAGATTCCCTTTTATTTAATATTTGCCTTCCTGGCATTTCATTTGAAAGGTTATGTACAGCATAGTTAAAAATAATTTCCTTTGGGTTATTTCAAACGCTTTAGTAAGATTCTGTTTACAGTATGATCTCTGTGGATTAAAATCTAATAGAATTTTTCTGCATGGTCAATACAATTACAAGTTAAAAATTTTAAAGTGGCTAACCATTTAGTTTCTTTGACATTTCTCTTTCGGTTTGATCATTCAATCACTTTGGCAAATTTTCTTCTGCCTTGCATGCTATGGATTTTCTCACTGCCAGTGTTGTCTGAACTAGTTGGAAGAGTACCTAAGGCACACTTAAATGATGATCAGGAACCAAGCAGTGTGGAAAAAATCATGGAGATTGATGAGCATATAGGATGTGCCATGAGCGGATTGATAGCTGATGCCCGCACACTGGTTGAACACGCACGCGTTGAAACACAGGTGCAATTTTAGAGTTGTGCCATAAAGCAGAATATCTATGGAGTATGTCTTTGTAGCTGATTTTATTTATTTATTTTTTTTTTGTGTCTTGTTTTTTGGTAGAATCACAGGTTTTCATATGGCGAGCCAATGACTGTTGAATCTACTACTCAAGCTCTTTGTGATCTTGCTCTACGATTTGGCGAGGGTGATGAGGAATCTATGGTTAGTTTTCTGACAATTAATTTTTTTATTGTCGTTATTACTTTGCTTTTTTAAGGCCTAGAGTTTCTCCTTTTCAAGTAAATTGAAGTTCGCCAATATTTTTCTTTCAGCCAGCTTGTATATATGAAATCCAGGTCGCATATGGCATCATACTAATGGAAAGTGTTGTGTTGAATATTCACATATATTTATTGCACCCTGGTTCATTAATCTTCAACGTTTTTGTTACGTCTGAAATGAAAATTTAGGCTCTTTTTTGTTAAGAAATATTTTGATCCACTTGCTTATGTGGATAAAATGCATCTAATAGAATGCCATTTAAAATAATTTTCTTCGTCAAATATATCAAAATGGAAAGGTCATTACTGCATTGCGAATATTCTAGTCATTTTTGTGAATATTTTACAGTTGTTTACTCTATTAGTTGATGTTGTTTCTCTGTTTTCTTGCCCTCAACACTACACTTTTCTAGCTTCCCCGATGTTTTTTCACTTTTCTTTTGCAAAGCAAGCTTAGTTCTCATCTTAAGAAGTACAATGGACCACGGTCTCTCTTGGCAATAGTTCATGCCATTGTGTTTTAGTAGGAGCTTCTCTCCATTGGCCAAAGCAATTGGTAATGTTTCTAAGAATCTGTAGCAAGCAAAATCAACACATCTGAAACATTAAAAAGTGATTTGGGTGAGAAATACAAGTGTGATTGATATCACGCTAGAAGTAATTTATATTATTTAGAATTTATTGCATATATGTTGTTTAAATTTAGTACTTCAGATTTTGCTTTTTGGTTGGAACAAATTGTCTGAGCTTTTCTTTTGAAGGTGGTATCTAGCTATTAACTTTTTTACTACATTTTAGAAAATTTTGCTGTCCAGAACAACTTCTTTTTCAACCAAGCTCATTAAACCGTGTTTTAGCGGAACAATAGTATTTCGTGGTGTCTCAGTCTGATATTTTATTATTCTATTGTCTATATTTTAAAGAAGTTATGTAATAACTTCAATCATTGACTTTTTCTATTATAGTTTTACATCTGTAGCCCTCCTGAAATCTTTAGTTCATTTTTAGATTGTTATTTTTTTGATAATTTTGGACTTAAAGCTGAAATGGATGTGATTTCAACTTGATCTTTACTTTTTGGTAATATTATTTCAATAGATGGCTTTTTGTCTTCTAATTCAGTAATTGAGTTATAATGGAATGGAAAAAAAATATTTCTTTTAGCCACCTCTCTAACGATTGTCCCCCTTCTACGGTTTCATCTTACTTTCTCCCATTCCTCAGTTCTTAGGTTTCACTATTCTTTCTCTTATCTATCCCTCGCTTTACTTAAGCTTTCTTTTGTTTAACTTTCTTTGCCTTTCTTGTCAGTACATTTTTGGTGCTCTTCACGAGATTCATCTATTTTTGATACATCATTTTATATCAAATCTAATGCTTTTTACATATTCGGATTCCACATCCAAGAAATTTTTTTGTCAATTCTCTTCATCAAATTAAGTCACATGCCATGCCCACACTTATTTCATTATTATTATTTCTTCTGCACGTTCTCAATTGCATTTGTGCTTTTCTCAGCATTGCACGTACTTGTTTACTCACCCACTCCTTGCTATACTGCATGCTCTCCCCTGCTTGTACTTTCCATTGAACACTTCCTCACTCATACTGTCATATTTTACCTTGATTTTGAGCTCGCCACTTGGTTTCTGCATGCTACAGTATGTTAGCTTGCACCGCTTTATCTATTTCATCTGTCTCCAATGATTCATGGTTTCTTCCTGGTCTCACCATCGCCTCTGCACCAAGTTTTTCTCTGAAGATTTACTTTCATACCCCTCAATGTTTATGTAATAACATATCAAACACTTAAAATTCAATTTTCACATTTTTGCCACCTTACCTATGCATGAAAAGGTGTATTTCACTTTTTGAAAGTTAAAACAGTGGTATTATTTCTATGTGATATGAAAGATTCGGACGGTTTTAATGTAAAAATCAGTGTTTAGGTGTTAGATATGTAAATACATAGGGATTTGTTGGTATTCATGTAAATGCCTTTATTTTTTTTCTATTTTACCCTGGCCCAAGCTCCTACTTGTTTTTGTCATTCTCCCTTGATTCCAAGCTTGTTGTTGCAATTTTACATGCCGCGATACCTTGACTTGCTTTGCATTATTGCCTTCTTTGACTCTAATGATCTTGAGTTCCTTTTAGCTACACTACTGTATCTACTCCAGCTCTTTGCATCGAAATCAAATTTGATTATTTTTATGTAACCCATGGGCACACATGCCTATGTTCCCACATGCTTTCTCTTTTGCTTTCAAATATGCAATATCCATTCTAGTTGTTTGCTCCAAGGATCATTTGATCCATCCATTCCTCTCAATGATTTTGATTCTTGTCATATTAATTTAGCTTTCTAGTAAGGATTATAAAATTTAAAATGGATCTTGCACACATCAATCAAAGTATAAGCAAGATAGCTACCTTTTTTGAAAGGCATTTTCATGTTATGACATTGCTAGTATGTTGTGAGGTGAAATCATCAAGGTTGAGGAGGACATTGTAATTTTCAATGTATTAATCACAGATCTTGAGAAAACAGAAGAGCGATTTTCTCATTTCAGTGTGTCTTTGATGTCTCCTCTTACACCCCACCATTGTTTCACGAGTTATTGTATCTTGTTATCTGGCTTTGCTATCACTCTTGTATATTAGGTTGGCTTGATTTGAGTGATGCTAATTGTGTTTCATGTTGCTTCGATGCATGTCCAAAATCATGGCAGCGACACATCATGACACAGTCTTTGCATTCCTCGTTCATGTGCTTAACTGCATTTGCATGTAGCCGTTCTCTCACAAACCATGCTACACATGCATGCCTATGTCTTTATGCCCTACTTACCTTAATAACAAATAAGTCACGTGTAGTCCAGTTTTTCATTTGTAGATTGTCTAATCTTTCCCATTGATTCGTTCCTCTTAAGTGATATTGATTGTTAACATTTTTATTTTGGCTTTTAAGGATTATTTTAGCATGTTTTCACCTTATTCACTTCATTGATGTGTTGTCTTAAAGTTGGGGATGAAATTGTTGCTATTAAATTTACCAATCAATATCCTTGGAAAATAGAGGAAGAAATCCCCTCCTTGATTAATGATTGTTTTGATGCCACCTTTTTCATGGATAGTTAGATTGTGATATTAGGTTTATAGTTTGAAGGCGCAAGTTAATCTCAAAATCAAGCCGAAATCAAGTTGAGTGAAGAATGATCCATTTTGAGTAATTTTTGTTGTCTACGATTTTAGTAATTTTATTTTAAATCGGGATTTAGATTTATTTATTATTTAAGATAATTATTTTTCTGGATAATCTGAGGCTCAAACTTGAGTAAGTTTAAATTTCATTTTGTTTTTGCTTTTGTTAATCCGATTTCCATAAATAGGTCATCATATCTTGTAATTTAGTATCAAAGCTATAAGATGGAATGAAGAATAGTTTTTCTCAGCCTTCCCTTTAAGGATTCTTTCCTTCTATGGTCTCACCTTGCTTTCTTCCTTTCTGCACCTCACCTCCCTTTCTATTGGCATTTTTTCTTCTAATTTTTTCACCCCTCTTCTCTCTACTTCTGTGGCTCTATTCATACACTACTTTTGTCTTTTTATCTAGCACCACTCTATAGTAGTCATGAATTCATGATGCTGCTAGTTGAAGTTGAGTGTGGTATCCTAGATCACTACAGTGAACTACTGGCCCTGCCAAAAGTGTATATTAAGAGACAAAGCAAGTGCCACATCTTCAATAATTCACCAATTTCTTGCCCTGCCATGAAAAGCATAATAAGAATAATAAGACCAGCATATCCAGGACTAGAACAGCAACGCATATCCCAAAAACAGGCTGATGGAAAAATTAAATAGGCAGAAATTTGGTGATGTTCCTGGCTTAAGCATGGATAAAATAGTAAGTAGTAACATGCATCATTTTGCTTTTGTTATGAATAAAATACAAAAAAGAAAATAAGAAAATCGAAATAATTGCAAATTTTACATTTGTGGCTATTTGTGCCTTTCTCCTATCATTTTATTTTTAATGAAAATATGTAGTAAAAAGACTAGGATACTTGTGACTACTTGGAATACTTTCCAGACTTCCCTTTTTGGCATTGCTGTTACCTCAGAGCTATACTAAAGAAACACGGTTTTGGCTGCCTGGAACTCCTCCCCTAATTTCATTTGAATTATTTCTAAACATCTTTGTTGATTTATTTAACAAGCCAGAAGACCTAATGAAATTTCAGTGTGAAAACTGTGCATGCAGTGTGGTTAGATTTGCATAAGATTAAGAATGCCTTTCAGTAACACCTTAGCTAATTTTCGCGCATTTTTTCTTTATTAATAACTAGCAATGCATTGTTTAGTCATTTGTGAAGTGTTTCCCAAGGCGTATGCTTCATCTGATTATCAATACTAAATTTGCTTCTGCAATTGCACTCATTTAAACTGGATTGCGAAAGTATTTATGTTTTTATTCTTTAACCTGGGACTGTATAATGGATCACTGAAACTATTGATTTGAATTATTTAGTATGCAGACTCAATAGATGCACATGCATTATCGATTTTTTCTTTTAGTCTTGCTGCTGTTAGATTGCATTTTATTGTTGCCAATTCTCTCAGAAATTAATAAGCATGTGGCATAGATTTAAAATTATTTTACTTTTATTTTTTCAGTCGAGGCCTTTTGGAGTGTCTCTTCTTATTGCTGGTCATGATGAGAATGGGCCTAGTTTGTAAGTACTTATATATTTTATGTTCTTTTGTATTGGCATAAATGCTCATCTTTTTATCTTCTGCAGTATAGGATATTGGCTTTTATGTTGAAGAATGTACTTTGTTATGCAATGGGAAAATGTGACTCACCATTGTCATTTTGTGAGCAGCTCATCTCCTGAGTGTAGTTTGAAGGCTTTTACCCCCTCTTGCTGATTGTTTCTCGCAGTTGGTTGTCTGATTTAGTGCTTAGTGGTTATTTTACGTAACTACTTTAAACGTGCATTTTTTCTGGCTTATTTTATTATTTTATTCGTGTAGAAAAGCGATAATACTGGTCCCAAGCCCAAATGAGGCTTTGTGAAATTTTTGTTGAACATAAGCTAAACTTAATAAAATCAATTCAGATTTCGTATTGCCTAGAAGCAATGAGTCTCAAAACTAATCCAAACGTGGCAATACTTTGGTTAAGCATTTTCTATGACATCACCTATGAGTTGCATGCCACAATTTAATTTGATTGTAGTTAAGTAGAAAAGGATTTGCTAGAGTTTTATCCTTCAATGACAACCAACTATATTAATTTTGGTGAGAAATATAAAGGCAAATTTATATTCATTACACAATTTTCATGTAGTTACATATCTAATATGTATAGTTTGATTTTCACACTTATTAACACTTTTGTTTCATAAATGTATGCATGAAAATGTATAAAAAAGTTAGCGATTGTGGTATTTGTGATGTGATTTGAGTGTTATGTATGCGAATATGACTGTTTAGCTGTTAGATACGTGAATACATAAGAACTGTGTGCTGTGTATGTAAATGCCGCAAATGTAAAATAGTTGCTATGTACACTGGTGAAAATTTATTTGCTTCGTGGATTTTGGGACGGAATGGGAAGATGAGTGAATTTGTTGATGGATGATTGAAAAATTAATATGCTTCTTGTGGCTCTTAAAAAATATGAAGTTTAATCTTAAAAGGATGAATTTGCATATTAAAATTAAGGGATTAATATTGGAAAAGAAAAAAAGAAATTTAAAATTAAAAAATGGTGGGGGGTGGCCAATGAATTATTGGGAGGGAGATCATGGTGTAGAGAGTAAGGAAGCTATACTAAAATCACCATACGATATTCCACTCTTCATTTGATGGGGCCAGTAACCATTCAAGGAGAAACTAAAGGAAATTTTCTATTTGTAAGGAATGATCATCCATAATTCAAATGTTTGTTTAGGATGTTTAGGATAAAGTGTTTTAAAATTTGTGCATTTATTTGTCCTGTGAATGGATATGAATTGTATTCTATTTTATAGATGTTAGAATGTAAAGTTAAGTGAAATCAATTGAATAATTGTCCTCCTAATTTTCTCTTAAGTTTTGATCCTGGCCCCTAATTCTCCTCTCTACTACCATGCTGTTCAAGACAAAATCCAAAGCAAAGGGCATGCTTTCAAAGCTGTCGTCGGGTTGTCCCCTCCCTCTTGGATAGATCAGATGATTAACCTAATTTTTTGAATTCCTCTATAAACACCTTTTTCATTAACATGTTTGTATCTTATAGTTTCACAAGTCTCAAACATCAATTCTAGATCTGTTCGTCTTGTATCATTAGTTTCAACCAGGAAGACATTTATTATAGTTTGTATGAGATTATGAGGAAACCTAGAAGGTTCTATGCGGAAAAAAAACCCTTAAATTGTGAGAAGTGAACTTGAGATAAGTTTGAAAATTGAATCTCTCTCTATTTTCAGTTATCATATCTTCATGGGGTTAGTCGATCAGATTTCTATCATGGTGATTACTTTTGAAAAGCTTATTGTCAAGTTGGAAACACTAACAAAACACGACAAAAAGTGTGTGAGGGAAATATAAAGAAGCACTTGGTGATGTACCTGGTGGCATGTCTTTAAAGGAGTCCGCCATTCATGCAAGAGTCCAAGAAAAAGTGAATATGACCCAAGAGGATTACATAGAGAGTACTAGGGTGGACCACAAGTTGAGTGCTGAACTAGGTTGATGCTTGATGTTGTGGTGGGTTTGATGAATTCAAAGAAGACAAACAGCATTTATGAAGATGCTTCAAAGGAGAGGAAATAAATATATTTATATATTTTTTTATCAATCATTTTTTGACTGGTATAATTCATTATTTGAGAAAGCATGTCCGTTTCAATTTCATTCAAGTTAATCTATCTGAGATCAATAAAAAACATCTCAACCCTATTGAAGGGGTTATCATACATTTTGGTTATGCCAAAAGAAACTATGAATGGTTTCTGTCAAATGAAATGGTCATCAGGTGGGATAATCATATCTGGTCAAGCTTTTTATCTTGGATGTGAAATAAATTTATTTTTGATGTAATTAAGATCAACGTCATTAGTTAAGCATTGAACTTAGTTTTAAGCTATCATTACTCTTTGGTTAATTGCATTTATAAGAAGAAATGAAGACATCGGGAGCCGTGATCTTTGGTGTTATAAGAAAATTTGCATGTTCAACTTTGAAAGGATACATTTGTTAATAGAAAAGTGAGAAGTGATTGAAATCTATAAAAATTGTAATTTGAGGTTCCAATGAGTATGGATTGATTAAGGTTAGGACAAAAAGAGATATTTAAGTTGAGGGAATGAAGAAAATTATCCTAATTTACTCCACAAATGTCGACTCTGTTCAAGGGCTGGTGAACTTTCATGGAGAATTTCAAGGAGATTTTCTTTGCGAGGGATGACTAGCCATAATTCAGATGTTAAGATATTTAGGATGAAGTTTTTTTAAAATTGTGCATTTAGCTTGATTACGATGAAGATGAATTAGAGTTTATATTGCTTCGAGTCTAAGGTCCTTAGAATCTACAATTCAATTTGAGGCAATTGGCTTCTTACCTCTCCTTTTGAGTCTTAGGTTTCAATCAAGGGTCTCACTGTTTGCTTTTCATAACCATGCCATCTAAGGCTCATCCCAAAGCGTAGGGCATAAGGTTCCAAGTGTAAAGCATCTACTAATCATATCTCTCCTTGTGAATAAGAGACTGTTTGTTTTGCTGAGAAAAGAATGCGTTATAAAATTAATTTGGTTTAATTGAATGTAATGTATTTATAATATTTTGGAGTTGTTTGGTTTAGAGTAATAGAATTGCATGAGTTTATGTTTTTTTTTTTAGTTTGAAGAAAAAAATGAAATTAAAATAAAACACAAGGCATTGTGTGACTGTCGGCGACCATAGGTGGCGGCCGTTGAAATTTAGAATAATGTGGACTAAAGCGGAATATTTTTATTGATGTGAAAGTGGGTTGAGACCGGAACTAGGTAGAATTCAATGGAAACACGAAAGCAAACTTTTATTAATTTAAAAATAGGGTTACAATTCGACACAAACGGGAAAGAGAAATACAATAACAAACCAATCCTTGATTAGGTCCTGAAAAGAAGATTCGAGGACCGGAAAAGAAGATTCGAGGGCGGTGATGGTGTCGGCAAGGGGGAAAGGGGGAAAGGGGGAAAGGGGGAAAGGGTTGAGGGTTGTAGGTTAGTTTGGAAGGCTGGGAAAGTGTAGGGGGATGAAAAAAAGGTTGGAAAACAGGTAGCAGGAGTTTGGACGGCAGGTTCAACGACTAGACTGTAGCTTGCGAGGCTGGGCAGCAGGCTTGGAGGGTTTGGGCAGCAAGCTTGGAGGGTTTGGACAACAGGTTGGACGGCTGGAAATATGGCTTGAAGCGGTTGGGGAAGGCTTGGAGTGGCCGACGGCTGGAAATATGGCTTGAAGAGGTTGGGGGAGGTTTGGAGTGGCTGATGGCTAAGAGGAGTGAAGGAGACATGTTAGGGAAGATAAAAAGGGAAAGATACATCATCACCTTGGAGTAGTATACAGCCGGAGCACGACCACCTCCTCGGATACAACCCTACAAATGGGAAGAAGACCCCACACAAGAAATCTAAAAAATAGACATAAAAAAATAACTCTAAACTATGAAAACAAGCATATAAATAAACTTATCTAGGTGGGAAACAAGAAAGGAAAGACGACGAGAAAGTAAGGAGGAGAAAAGGGCAGGAGGCAATGCTACTTTCCTGAAATGCCGTTCGATCCGAGAGGAAGGCGCGAAAGGGAAACCCCACGGGCCGCTTGACTCCGCTTGATGCCGCTCAACACTTTGGACGTCTGACTCCCCTCTTGCTAGCTGATTCAACCGGCTGGCTTTGTTTCTCGCTTTCTTGTGGAAAACTACCACACCCGTGTCAGTCTCCCGGGGTTGGGAGAGCTTCGACCTCATTCATTGAAGTTTCTGGTTTCTTCTCTCTAATCCTGGCAGCACCAGGGTTCCACTGCCAGCTAGAGCATCAAAGAATTCAACACCAATCGCACGCCCTTGTCTCTATCAATCCTTGCTCTTGAAACTGTGGCCCATGCCTGTACTGTTGGATCCTCCCAAAGTTAACCCACGGTCGAGCCAGTCAGATGTGCTGCGAGAGTAGCCTGAATCTTATCGTTGGTGGTAGAGTTGGTGCTATGGTGTTGTCTGCGAGGTCCTGACATCCTCTTTGGCGCAACAACCTGCTGTCTGGCGCCAGGTCTCAATCCTCTCATCCGGTGTCGTCGCTAGAATTGACTCCACTGACGTCGCTCTGTTGGTAAGAGTTCCAGTGATCTCGAGCTCTGTTGAAGGGAGTAAAATGTGTTTCCTCTCCTTAGTGAATTATGTGTTTCTGAGTCCATTGTGTTGAGTCCTCCGGTCAAATTGCCATGGTTGTCCCAATAGGTGGCAGGCATCCATAGGGACCACATCACACCACACCTGGTGCTACAGCTGGCCTCTGATCAAGAACTTTACTAAACATCTCCGATTAATGCTGATCCAATTTTCCTTCTTCAACCATGTCAGTGAATATGATTGGGAGTGCTTCTGACTCGTTAGTCTCAAGTTGATGCAACATTCTTGTTGCTCCCACTGACAATGATAACATTGCATATTTTTTCGTTCATTGTGCAGCAGGTGTAGAAAATGTTGTGGTTTGTCCTCGATCTGCAGAATTCGTTGAATCACAAATATGCTTCCCTCATCTGGTGGAGGCTGATACACCTCACCTCGTTCCTCAACTTTCTTCTCCTCGTTAATATCTTCCACAACGCACTGATCTGTGAGGGTGACTAACTTGCTAGTGAGACAGTTGGAGGCTATGTGGCCGTAGTCGTGGCATCGGTAACTTTTCCTGGCCTCTACGGTGTTGGAGGAGCCACTTTTCTCCTGCTTCTTTCCGCTTTGATCGGAGTGCCACTCCCTTTTCTGGACTTGTTTGTGTGTTTTTGACGGTCGCTATGACTGTAGGAGACTGTCTGCCGGTCGGTTGCTGCCTAAAGGGTGGTTGTTGTCTGCTTTGCTTCTGCTGTCTCTCCACTTTTAGAGCTAGTGTCTGAACATCTCCAAGTGATGAATAAGGTTGCAATTGTACCACATTAGTGATAGTTAGCCCCCATATAACGGGTTATGGTGTGTTCCTCTGGTTCGACTGAATCACACCTCATTTGCAACCGATCAAATTGCTATGTGAACTCCTCTACTGATATATCCCTCCGATGCATTTGGAGTCTCAGAAATATATCCTGATGGTAATGCGGTGGGAGGTATTTCCTTTGTATCACTTTTTTCATCTTCTCCCACCTTGTACTCTTATCGCTACCTTTTGAGCTCATTTGTCTATAAGTTCTCCCACCACAGAGAAGCACTTTTCTTCAGCTTAATGGCCGCTAATTTGACTTGGCTATCTTCTAGCACATCTATATGCTTGAAGATCTTAGGATCCATAGCTTGATGTCGATGTCTCCGTGTCCTCCAAATGATATCTCCTCTCTGTGAATCTCCCTTTGGGGGGATTCAGATATCCCTCTCTAAGCCTCCTCTGGTACTTGATTCCGAACGCCGTGGCTTATTTTCTTCATTGCTGAAATTATCCCTATAGAACGGATTGAGATCCTCATTTCTTTCACTTCTTCGACTCTCCAGATCTCGGTCGAAGTTAACTTCTTCCCATGTTAATTCTTCAATCTCTGCAAGGCTTTGTTGAAGGCGATGGTGCTCCCGCCTTATCTCTTTCCGGGTAGGTTGGGGCATGTTTCTCCTTGGTGGCATGACTTGCAATTAAGGAATACAACAACAACAAAACCTTAATCCCACTACGTTGGGTCGGCTACATGAATCCTTTTTCTCCATCGCGTCCTATTTAGTGTCATATTTTCATTTAGTTCTAGTAAATTAAAATCGTTTTTTATACAATAAGCCCAAGTCTTCCTAGGCCTACGTCTACTTTTCTTAACACAAGTCGAATCTAAAATATCTACTCTCCTAGTCGGATCATCAGATGGTCGATGTTTAATATGACCAAATCATCTAAGACGACTAGCAATTAAGGAATAGGAAAGAAAAAAATTTTGGTTTCTAGCGGATGCTAAGAAATCCTAGAATGAGACTAGGGTTGGGTTTAGCTCTCATACCAAATGATACCGGAACTAGGTGAAATTTAGCGGAAACACGAAATTTTTTTTTTATTAATTTAGAAATAGGTTTACAAAAGTTGCCTTAATCTTCTGGAAGCTTGAATTCTAACTTCACCAATCCAATAGTTTTAAAAAAAGAAAAAAAGATGCCTTAATCACTTGTTCAAGGCGCCGAATTTGCTACATATTATTATAAAAATATTGAATATCATCACTTATAATTCTACCCTTTATAATTCCTTCTGGTCATATAATAAGTTGTGGCAATATGTTTTGCAATCAATGCGAGACTTTACTCAAAATGTTTAGTTTATTTAGAAATGTCTCAGTTTTTTAGAAAATTACTGGTTAGTTTTAAGCTTTGTGCTATCCTGTGCAATTAATGATCAAAAGAATCCCTAGGCTGTTAAGTGTATCTATTTTAGTCTCAAAGAGTTAATCTTTCAACTGGTCCTATGCATTTGGGCCCTTCTATAATCTCTGTTTGCAATTGATGGAAATATGTTGCGTTAAGCAATCTAAGCTGGCATTATTGACTTTTTGATTGTTACTCCTTGTGTTGTTGAACATGAAACTTCCATCCAAGCACTTGTCATAAAATGTGATGCATATTGCTTAGAACGTATAAAATTTAACCAAACGTATTTCTCGTATTTTATGAGATTGAACTAAAGCTACAACCTTTGAGACAGCGTGATTTCTGTATGAGAAGTAGCATCGGCAAAGATAAAAAATTACCTAAACGTGCAAACAATTAGTTTTAATTAGGTTATGACATTGCATATGATCCTTATTATATTCTTTTGAATAGACTGTTTTTTTGCAGTGAATTCACTGATTCTCCTTCCTAGCATCATGTGCAAGCTGAAAATATTTTATAACATTTATTCTGTTGTGACCCTTTGTTCTTGATTTGTTAGTAGCCTTTATTTATAACATTTGCGGTGCTGCATTTTGTACTGGGGAATTATACTTTATCTTTGTTCTCTGAGCCCATGGATTTGCACCACTTCCTTCATTTAGAATATTTGTACATATATTACAGACAAAAATACCCCCAACTACAAAAAATTGATAGGACATATCTTATTTTACACCAATTATCATCAGTTAATTTGAATACAGAGCCTAATATTTATGTGTGCTTCTGTACGCTAACTGTTTGTTTGACATTGTTCTTCTGGATCTGTAGATACTACACGGATCCTTCTGGTACATTTTGGCAATGCAGTGCGAAAGCTATAGGGTCGGGTTCTGAAGGAGCTGACAGCTCCTTGCAGGAGCAGTATAACAAGGCGAGTTTATTATATTGAAAGATTTACATACATACCTCTTAATTCTTATGTATTTTTATGTCTAAAACCTATACTATTAACTTTTACATACATGCCACATTACCTATGTATGAAATAGTTGCATTTCACTTTTTAAAAGCTAAAATGATGGTATTTTTGATGTGATATGAAATATCTTGTTAAAAATTGAATCACCTTGTGCTAAAATTAATATTTTTGTGCAGGAAATGACTCTCGAGGAAGCCGAAACTGTTGCTCTGTCCATCCTGAAGCAAGTCATGGAAGAGAAGGTAGAGATTGGCTCTAAAAGATTAATTAGACATCTTGTGTTGCTTTTAACCATTCTGATACACTATCAATGCTTCAATATTTAGGTGACTCCAAACAACGTCGACATTGCGAAAGTCGCTCCGTCGTATCACCTCTATGCTCCTCCTGAGGTAGAAGCTGTTATCAATCGCTTATAGAGGATCAATAATTACTTTCAAATTATGCTTTCTTCCCCTTATTTGCCACTCTGAGCATTTTACCCCCGTATTATATCTATACTTTATTATTTTTTTCTTAATACATGACATGAAAATATTTAGCAACTACATTGTTTAATTGAGATTTACTTGCAACACAGTTCATATTCACCTTTGTTTTTTAGTTATTATTAACAATTGATTTGGGCATCTTGGGGGTTTAGGACAATCAAGAAGCCCGGGTTTATATACTGATGCAAGCAGTTGCAGGCTTCCTTTATTTATAGTGATTATGTTCCATTTTAGAGTCATAATGAATGGTGTGACATAAAATGTTAAAAATATATAAATGAAAATGCAGTTGAATGTAAAAATTGAATGAAAATAATTGACTAGGTTATGTTTTTTATTCTGAATTAACCTTTATATTATAAATATATTTATAATATGATTTTAAGTTAAACTAAATGCGATGCTCCATTGTGAATTGCCTACGATCAGCCAAAAAATGCCGAAGTGTAAAATAATTAAAATACTTACTATAGGTGAAGCTTTGGGCCGGACATCCATAAGCTCATAGACTGGAGCTACTAATGAAGATCGCTGAGATATTGTGCGCGCAAGTGGCATTTGTGATGCAGCATGAGTGACAGGGTGCTGGGACAATGCGTGAGCAAGATAGGTGGGGATGCCTCGAATAGAGCTAAGGCTGTGAAATTTGCTCGTAAATTGCTAAAAAATTAGATTGAGTTTTAGCTGGGATCGAAAGTGGAACAAACCATTCGAGGTGAGCTACGGGCCAAATTAAAAAATAAAATTTATTTCAATCCGTCCTCATCCTCGGCTCGGATCGGGGTAGAAATAAATTATTATTTATTTACATATTAAACACCTAAATTTTAAGTTTGACATGCTTTACGCATTGCCAGTTCGGTTGGAGAGAGATTTTTTGCTTGAGTTGAGTGGCATGAGTTTGAACCAACCTCTTCTCAAAAAAAAAAAGAGAGTAAGATAAAGAAAGAAAAAACATTGGTTTTTTTGGCGGAGGGGTGGCCAGGTGGGTCAAGGTGGCTGGAGCAGGACTGATCTAGCTCACGAATCAAAAATGACATTCACTCGTTTACAATTTTAGTTGTCTCGGCAATCGGATTGATAAACACTGGATCAGAGCAAAATTTAGTAGGATCGATCCGAGTTCTGATATCAATCTGACAAAAAAAAATTTTAATCTAATTTTGAGCTAGCCCTGAATCAGCTCGAAATTGGATCTTTCACACCCTAGGACTAGTTGAGATGCCACACAGGCGAGCAACATCTTGGGGCGAAGCACGAGCAAGGTGCTGGAATGATGCATGAGAGGCATTTGGATGACTAGAACAAAAAATTTCAAACCTTTAAACTTTAATTTTTAATTCTTATTATTTTTATAATTTAATTATAATATGCATAATAAATTTAAAACTTTTTAAGATGAAAGGTTTAAATTTAAATATTTTATTTCCTTTAATTTTTTTATTTTATCAATTTTCTTTATAAGTTCTAATATATATATATCCTCCCA